ATTTGATATTCTCTGAAGAAATGGCTTATATTGAGTTACGAAACATCAGAAAATTCAATTTTTCTACTCATTAGGATATTACAAATATATTGATTTTGTTAATAACAATTTACTGAATGCTTAATTTATTTAAAATTATCAAGTCAAACCATGGTAATGATACCTACTTAATAAGTTTTCAATAATCAAAACAGATTTACTTAATTGGGAAGAATGTATTTGTAAAATCTCAGCAAAAGAATTTGAAGTGAATCCAACGTTTCATCTGGCATTTCGGTTCAAGCTTGGACCTCTTTATTGTTAATGTTTGTTTGTATAGAATAAGAAAACACAATGGAAGATGAGTTTGTAGGTATTATTATCAAGGTTTGACTTGATAATTTCGAACAAATTAAGCACTGAGTAAATTTTTATTACCCAATGAGTAGAAAAATCAAATTTTCCGATGTTTCGTGACTCAGTATAAGTCACTTCTTCAGAGAATAGTATGAGACTCCTCAGCAATGTGCATCCATGAACTCGCCTCATGAAATTCGAACCCAAATTGTATGATCAGATTGTTCGAAATGTATTGCGCAAGTAAATCACTTAATTCTGATAAACTTCGTCTTCTTATTGCATTATCGAAATTCATTTATTTCAATTAGTGGATACTTTCTTCAACTCTAAACACTGAACTCTACCAATCACAAATGTATAGCAAAACTTTCGAAATTTATCTTAGAGCTACTTAATAATCAACAAAGAATTGTAGTTTGGCTTTAAATTTCTATTTCTAGGTGACTTTTCTTATCCTTATGGTATGATGGGAAGAAAAATCAATTTTCCATTGATTTACTCATTATGAGTTTTATTCAACATTAAATCCATTCTAATTCAATGAAATGATTACTCAATGTAGTATTTGTTTTCTATTCTCGTATGATATTTTCTTCTGTATAAAATACGATATTCTTGTATTCACTTGACATGAACTATGCTCAGTATGGGATTTGTTATAACTGAGTATACGATTTGATCCTAATTATTAATCAAAATGGGTGTACCATCAATATATAAACCAGTGTATTTTAGACTATATTCATTCGTCGTCGTCATAGTGTTTGTGGCTAGTAAATCTTCACCTATATCAGTCTTTGTGTTCTTACTTTCGCATCGTGGGAATTGCAGAGGTCCCTCGTTCCGAGTATAAGTGATCAGCGATTTTCCGGCACAACAATTTCGACGACCCGAATACAACACCTTAGCCATGTAATGAGTGAGTGCTGCTAAAATCACTGATTCTTGGACGAGAAAGCTGTCCACTGTTTCTTGATTTCCAATGACACATCACATAATTTTAATCCATGCACGAGTTTATAGAATCATAAGCTAAGCGTCCGATGGTACATTCTTTCAACTTAAATACTGATCATTAACCTAATTGTATTGTTTGGTAGAAAAATAAAACTCTCCTAATTAAAAAAAGAAACAACATCACATAGTACAACAGCTAACTTTAAAAAAGTCACTACAACTTAATACAATCTTTGTAATTTATATTCAGACTTTCAAGTTACCCATCATCACTTTTTTTGGACCCGAGACAAGTACATTTCAATAGTCTTTCATTTCGAATTGAATAAATAAATAAATCCCTAAATTAATCATTATGAATTGACTTGAAATTCTTTCATTATTTCAATCCATCTTACAGAAAAAGCTTAATATCCTATATAATAACAATAACGTTAGTAAACTAATTATCCATATACATTACAATACGATAGATACTATTGATTGACATAATTCATAGGAGGTCATTTATACATTGATCAGAATCATATTAATTTAAGCAATTAGTTTAATATTCATATTTCCTTCAATATTCTATTCATTATAGTATATTAGCTGTCTATTAGAAATCAATCAATTCATTTTATGTAAATATTTCTCTTATGTAACAATGAAATATTATTCTCATTAAACAACAAATTGGTCTATTACTGTGGACTTGTTATACAAATTTTTGTGTATTTAAAAAAAATTACTTTTAACAAAAACTGTAAGATGTTCATAATAAATAAAACATGAGACAACTTAGAAACTATCAGTTTAGGGGTTGTGGAGATTGCTAAGTTTTTGATTGAGATCATGAACTGAATGATGTTAGACTACCATTGAAAACCTGGAAGTACTGGACGGCCGTTTCGTCCTATTGTGAGATTCCTCAACAGTGCGCATCTCGTGAGTGGGATCACTGCTTCCAGGTTTCCAATTTGTCCTTACTCTTAACCTACGTGGGTAACAGTGATTTATTATCTAGAGTGGTTATCTCATTGGTTCTGTGTACTTTATTATTTTTTTTTCTTTTCGAAGGCTTACCTTTACAACCTATCTAGTTGACCATTTAATTTTCATATAAAAACGTCTTAACAAGTATATATGTGATCAGATTGTTCGAAATGTACTGCGCAAATATACCACATAATTCTGATAAACTTCATCTTATTGCATTATCGAAATTTATCAAAGGGACTAATTTTTTTAAATAGATGAATTTCACAACATGTAACTAACCAACTGTAGTTAGAAATATGGATCACTTCTTTGTGACTTATTAGTCTAAAGGTTACACACCTACTATGAGATTCGAATTTCCTAAGTCCGACCTTTGTAGTGGTCATGGATGCATGTGACCAAGGAGTCCCATACTCAGACTGGAAATCTGTGCAGTGCATCATTGTTTTATACGTTGTCTAGCTGTAGATAGTCCATGATAATAAAACCACAAAACACATGATCCAGTGTCGGAAAAAATGATCGAATAAGGGGAATGAAAAGTATGTGATAATCCTAAACTTAATTATTAAAGTAAAATTAAAGAATAATTATATCCTTGCTTGTGTGATTGACTTTAGGCCAATTCAACTTAGATAGATTACGATTATCAAATGAACTTCAGTTAGGAGATATTCTCCTCACTCAATTACAATGAGTTAATGCTGTACCATAATCTAATGGTATCACGCTTGTGTACTTGTCATAAAACTATATATTTCATACATAGTCTTAATAAGATGTTATCAATAATAATTGTCACGACATTTTAGTAATCTAAATTTATTGAAATTCTATCAGATTTTACTGCCTTTTTGTTTATTCATTCTTTCGATTACTTATTTACTTACACCTGTTACTCCCAGTGGAGCACAGCCCGCTGACCACCATGCCACAGTCCATTCTTTCCTGAGCCTCCGTTTCTAGTTTTATACAATTCATGTTCATTCCTCTCATGCCTGTCTCCATTTCCCGGCATAATTTGTTCCTCTTCTCCTCATTTGACTTTGAGGATTCCAAGTGAGGGCTTGCCCTGTGATGCAGTCAGGTGCTTACCTCAATGTGTGTCCAGTCCACTTCCAGCGCATCTTCCTACTTTCTTCCTCCGCTGGCATCTGGTTTGTTCTCTCCCATAGTGGGCTGTTGCTGATAGTGCTGGCCAACGGATCCGAGGTATTTTGCTTAGACAACTGTTAATAAACACTTGTATCTTCTCAACGATTGCTTTCGTAGTTCCCCAAGATTCCGCCCCATACAGTAGAACTGTCTTAACATTTGTATTGAAAATTCTAACTCTGGTGTTGGCAGTTGACAGTTGTTTTGAGTTGCAGATGTTCTTCAGTTGTAGATATGCTCCTCTTGCTTTGTCAATCTGCGCCTTCACATCTGCATCAGATCCACCATGTTCATCGATGACGCTGACCAGATATGTGAAGGTTTTTTACATCATACAAAGCTTTTCTGTCAAGTGTGATTTGATTGGTGTCTGTAGTGTTGTATGAGAGAATCTTGCTTTTCCTTTAGTTTATGTTGAGACCTATTGCTGCTGAGATTGCTGCTACACTGGTCGCCTTCTTCTGCATTTGTTGTTGCGTGTGCGATAGAATAGCCAGATCATCTACGAATTCTAGATTGTTCAGATTCACTCTAACTTTCCACTGTATCCCATGCTTTCACCTAGATGTTGACGTCTTTGTAATCCGGTCGATCCTCGGGAGAAGAAGAAAGAGTGAGAGTAAGCAACCTTGTCTGACACCGGTCTTTACTTCGAACGTATTCATTCGTCTACCTGTTATTACTGTTCTTCATTACATCTGAATATCAAGATATTAATTTTGGTTAATGAAATTCTTAGAATAGTGGCTAGCTAAGGGAAGAAAATAAATGATAGTAATAATAATAATAATAATAACCCATTGTTTATTAAATCAAACAATACTGTGAGTAGAATACTTTATTGTAAATTTTAATGACTATTATTATTATTATTTATGTAACCCAGTAGAGAAAGTTTTGGTATTTATGGTAGGTAATTTCTGACTTCAAAAGTCAGTGAGCAAGTAAAATCAAAAAAATCCAGGGGCATTCACTTGATAAATTGTTCAATTCACACTTTATTGTTTTCCTTATTGGTATGTGGTACTGTAATTAAAATATGATTGATCGTTGAGCGTGAACAAACAGGCATTCAATTTAATAACTATTAAATATGTAATTTCTTTTCCTCTTGTTGATTTGTGGTTTCGAACTCACTGAAAGTAATTGCTTGTAATTGTGTTGAATAAATTATTATCTAGTCTATATTCTGGTTCTTTATTGTGGATCGTGAAATCATGGATCTGATATAACGTGACTAGTCTAATTATCGTATTCACGTATTATCATAGTAAATGAGAGAGTGAGAGAGAGAGAGAGAAAGGAAATATTCTAAATCATCCGTTATATCAACTATTAAACACATTTGTAAATAATTCTAACAGTAGAGTTAAATATTAGTGATTAACTTAATACAAAATGTGTTTTTTATTAGAAAATGTGTTTAGAGGAACTTTGTATTCAACATACTTTATGCTTACATTAACATTATCTGTACATATAAATCAATCGTTTCTTCTTTGCTGTAGCATGTTCGAACAAGTAGTTGCATATCTTTATCTTCTTCTTATTATTATTATTTTTAGGATGATGCATACGGTCAAGATTTGTATATGTTAAATAGATGTTTAGATGATATTGAATGGTTTGAAAAAAATTTTAGAAAAAGTTTTAGATTTTCAACAGACGAACTTGACAATAAACAGAGTGAGTTTTATAACAATAAAATTATTGATGAAATAGTCTCTTTTCTTTTCAACAACAACAACATTTTCATTTTAAATAGGTCAGTGTATAATGATTTCAATAAACATAATAGTTATCTTCATTGTAGAAACTACTTTAGATGAATCCATTTAAACTCTTTATTGAATTGTATTGTGTGAGCAGTTTTATTGTCAAAGCTTATTTTGTAACCTTGTTATACTATTTGAGCAAAAGACATAATCTATGGAGACTGATAAGTAATCGAGGTTTAATGTCTAACCTATGTTCTATGTTCATTCAAACGCCTTGACCAGTGGAACTAATCCATATCGGGTAGAGACAGGTATCTATCTCAGTGCAATAAAAAATGATTGCGCAATTTCATTGATTAGTTTAAGTTGGACATTAACACTATTGGATACTGGCCCAGTAGACTAGAAGTTAAGCGTTTGCGCCCGATAACAAAGGTCCTAGATTCGAATTACGTGCACTGCTCAGTTTTCTCTATTCGACATTGATTGTTGGAGCCAAAATTAATTGTTTCTTTTTAAAAAAAGAAAAAAGAAAATACATTTACACAAACATTGTATTAATCCAATGATCGCTTACATTTAGTCATGAAACGTCAAAAAATCTAATTTTTCTACTCAATGGATTTAAGATAGTTAGAATTATTAATTGAAAGGTTTGAAAGAAGATAGATAACACCACTCTGGTTCTAAATTTTCTATTGTTAGCCAATTATTGCTGAAAGAAAAAAGAAACCATAATCCATAAGTACCTTATACTAATAACAATGATATATTCTCTAAGTGACTAATTTCTAGAGGTAATTCTTGAAGTTCTTGTCAGAAGTCGTTATTGGTTGAGCTCAGTCATGTGACAAGTGAAATAGTTAGCCATCAGAAGCATTGAAAGATGGTTGCACAATCTTAAGTGTTGAGTGAGTTTAGATATGTGAATCAGTGAATTTCAGTGCAATGATTTAATGATTTAACACTCACCCCAAGACCTGAAGTTCCCGAGTTTGATATAGAATGGGGTCATGAATGAATCTTACTGAGGAGTTTTAAAATAGATGCCCAGTATTTCCTGGTTTCGCTGTTTGTTTTACTAGGATTAGTCCGTGATGTAAACTATATAAAATTCTCATCATTATCACTGAGAAAACAGTCAATTTATCGTTTAGGATAAATATTTACACACTAAGAGGTTTGTTGTTTACCAAGATTCTAAGAAGCTTAAGGATACAGAGTACGGATTTCTGAAGTAGTGGTTCCCTATGAAGCTATTAAATAAGATACTCAAATCACTCATAATTAATGCAAAAAGATTTCAAGAATATTTCATGCCTACTTGGAGTTCTGTATTTCTATAAAACGAATGCTATGAACTTCTTATTAAATTTTAGAGATAGTGACAGCGAACTTTAAATTTGACTTACCTATACTAAACAAATAAAAGTAGACTGCATTGCACTTCAATAGATTATTTATAATGCATCCACTAACAACAATACCTGTAAAGACATCTAAGAGTATTATAGTTGTTTATTTCAAGAGAAATTTTAATAATGATTATCTTTCAAATTGAAAGAAACAAACAAATAGGGCTATACAGCAGTTGTACTACCCAAAACTCTGTATTATATATACATACATCTAAAACATCTAGCACCTATACAATCGCTTTTACCATATATAAAAGTAAAAATATACAAATGATTCAACGAATAAGGTTTTTCTAGGTAATTCATTTTTTAGCATCGGTGTCACCATTGAGCGCGTAGGAAATATTAATCGCAGTTCTCCGGCGTTAAAGGATTTTTGTATTGTCCTACGCAATCTCTGACTTAATATTTCTTTAGCCACATCCCCTCTGAAATGTAGACGCATGAACAGGGATTTCTTCTTCACCGTTTGCATTCCACTTATTTTCACCTTCCTGTTCATATATTTAATTATAAACTTTCAAGGGTACCCGTTTTCCCTGAGAGTATTATGCAACGTGTTAAGTTTGTCTTCAGCTATATCAGCAGAACATATAGTGGGTATTCGGTAACTAAGGTTTTTGATCAAGTTTCGTTTGTACTGTAGAGGTGCAAAGCTAAGGAAATGAGTATACTGCCCAGTTTATATACTTTTTCTGTTTAAGTCCCTTTTTAACGAACCATTCGCTCTCTTAGTTAAGAGAACGTCCAAAAAGACTATTCGACTATCACTCTCTTCTTCAGATGTAAACTAAATGACTGGATGTACTTCATTAAATCGCTTAATAACTTCTTGCTGTGACGTAATATCTTTACAGAGGATGAACGTTTCATCCATATATCTACATTAAAATGTGAAGTTTTGAATAATTTTTTTAATGGATCATTTTCTAGTTTGGCTAGAAAAATATCAGCTAGTATAGGGCCCAGTGACGAACCTATTGCAACACCATCTGTTTGTCTATATATTTCACTGTTGGACTTGAAATTCACATTCATGGTGCATTTGAGTAATAACTCTTTCACGACATTAATAGGAACAGTATTTTCAATATCATTTTCAATCAGTTGTTCACCTTTGTATTCCACAGTTTCTATGAGTTGGACGTTTGTGAATAACGACGTTACATCCAGTGACATCATCTTTAATCCCACCGTATTTGCATTTTTGATTTTGTCAATAAATTGGAATACATCCTTAACACTATGCCTTACAAGCTTTTCATGGAGAGGTTTCAATACAGCTAACAACCATTTAGCTATAGTATGGTAAGGAGAATCGTACATATCTAGAATAGGTCTTGATGGGATCCCCGGTTTATGTACCTTTGGCGATCCATATAATCTCTGCTCCTGTGGAGCGAGTTATATTGGTCAAAGTTCTAGGAATTTACGTTTTCGTGCTCGTGAACATCTCCTAGCGTGGCTAAACAAAGGTTTAATTGGATTTTATTGGAAAGACTTTATACTCCGTCGCATTTAAATTCATGCTGTTTTGTCTTGAGCTAATTAAAAATTATGAACTTAATTTTGCAAAATTTTCTATTAACTTTCTTTCTTCATTAAATAATTCATCATTTTTTTATTGAGATCATGAACCGATTTATGTTAAACTACCATTGGAAACCTGGAGGCATTGAACGGCGGTTTCGTCCTATTGTGGAGCTCCTCAGCACTGTACATCCACGATTCCAGAGGTCTAGAAGTTAAGCGTTTGCTCACGAGATCAAAGGCTCTGACTTGGAATTCCCGCAATACGACGGAACGACCATCTAGTGCTTCCAGGTTTTCAATGGTGGTCTAACATCAATCGGATCATGTTCTCAATCAAAAAACGGATTAATCTCCACAACCTCATACTGATAATTCATCATTTCGTTGATTTTTTTTATAGCTATAAATGTAAAACAAAATAATGATGAACCGCCAGATTCTACTGTAGCAATCGATTCTTTACAAAAAGTTAAATATGCATTCAATATTATTGAAAAAATTCGTAAATCACTACCATATATATCAAAAGAAATTTTTGTTTATTTAATAAGAATTGTACGTAAAGTTCATACAGTTGCAAAATCAAAACAAATTACTACTTACAATTCTAATATTGTAGTTGATGTAATTGAACCATTATTGAATGAAAATACTATTACGTCAATACTTAAATTATTATCAGTTAAAACAAAAGAATTATGGTTAGATCTTGGACCTGCATGGAATACACCAAGGTAGGTAATTTACAAATATACTACTTATGTGATTTTGATCAATTCTCTTAAGAAATGATTAAACTAAACAATTACCTAGTGATATTTGACTTTCAATGTTTATTTAATTGATATGTTAAAGTAATCCTTACATATCATCGAAATTAACGTTAATCGTATATATCAGTTCTAGTGAGCTACCTGGTATCTCTAGTATCTTGAAGGAACAAATAACGTATGAACCAATTATTGGTCACCGACTACCATGCGACTGCATCTCCTCACGTTGCTCCACTCTCTTGTGAGTGAGACCTTTAGGTCAAATACTCCGGATGTGGCCCCTAAGAGAACCACCTGCTTCGGTTTGAGCACACGGGCAGTATCATAAACCACACAGAAATCAAATGATTTATGTGGCGCATATGTATTCGGTGCCTCTTTGTACCAATATTTATATACTGAAATAAATAAGTAATAAAAATAACTCAAATATTATCGTTTCTTTTAGTCCAATGGTTTATAGCACTTCACTTACTAAAACGTATTCAATAATACATTCTCTGTATGATTTAATGAACGAATATATGTGAATCCATGGAAATAGAGGATACTTCCATTTTCTAATAACACAATACAGATTTTATGATAGATTAATATAATTTAGAGAATCATTGGAAATTTGAGAGTTTTGTAGTGAATGAGAAGACAAGTGGGGACAATCGAATATACTTCAACAGAAAATTACAGTATGTGTTAGTAAAATCTGAGAACCACAGAGTAAATATTTCATTTGCAAAGTGTCAATCAATCGTCTGAGAATTGGTTGTTTCTTCATTTCCACATCAATTATTGTCTGCTCTCGTTGTGTTTTCTCTGATATTGATAAGTTTCTGCCACCAGACATCTGACTTTCTGTTGATGATATATACTACTTATATCTATCGACATCAGTAGCACACATCACAGTATGTCTGTGACGCAAACCAAATTTAGGATGAACGACATCTCCACAAAATTATTCTAAGTAAATAATAATCACAGATTTTCGAAGTTCAAATTGAAAGATCCGGCGTATAAAACGTTCAGCTATATATCAAGTAGGGAAGTAGATAACAAATGGTTTACAGAAAATATTACTTACTTACTTACTTGCGCCTGTTTCTCCTCGTGAATGAGCATAGGTCGCTCACCAGCATTCTCCATCCAACCCTGTTCTGGGCAGTCCTTTCCAACCTGTAGCTCTTTTAGAATTACTGCTAATCCCGAGCCTGGGTAAAGGAGGAGGGTTAGAATGAGGCTAGCGATACCATCCCGTAGAAAACTAACTCGCTAAAAAAATGCTAACCAGAAAAGTAATTCGAACCATTTTTAAAATATGAACAGATGATTTTAAGCTGTGTGACTCAATGACCCCGTTATAACCTTTGAAAGTCCTGTATTCAAATTTGTGTGGGGTTGTGTGTTATTAGGCAGTCTCAATAAAGAATGAGAAAGATATCCAATACCCCTTGATTTTCGGTGGCTATCTAGCTGTTATTAATTCGGATATTTTCAAATGTATTAAAGTATTTGAGAAATATTTCTGAATCTATGGTCAGCTACTGGATTATAACATTTTTTGGTAGCGAAATTTTCGCCAACATAATTCTCTATTTGATCATTAATAAATGATGGACAGAATATGGTTTGTTTTTAAATGATATTAAACTTCACTTCCGAAATCCCCTGATAATATTTCGTATGAATAGAGACACAGTAGTTAAGCTAAGTGGTTTAATTATGAATTTTATACTGTCATCCTGAACTACAACATCAGAACCGATCTCAAATTCTAATGGAGCTAATAACCTTAAGTCAATACGTCGGTTGAATTTAGCTCATATATATTATTAAATTATGTCACCTCCATTTCATTCGTTATGTATATTAAAAATGATATGACGAATAGTCGCGAATAGCTTTTCCTTACTTAATCACTCTGAGTGGACAACTTAGACAGTGGTTTTTACAGTGAACTGACTTCATTTGAGAAACTAATGTAAACCAAGTGGTAAAGAATATCTGTTTTGTCCTTGTTCAAGAATTATCAAAAAGTTTTTCCAATGATCACTGCATAAGACTGTTATAAAATTCTTCAGGTATTATGCTGGACAAAATACGTTCATACTATTATGTTAGAAATCAACTGTCTACATCTTTGATTACAGTCAATGTATAATACGGCTTTGTCTTCATCTGATTTCATTGAGAAATTATTGTCTCATTGTCGATTAGATCAATTCTAAAGTACACCATAAGTTTCAATAATTGTTTGGTGAAAATTATTTTTACACTTTACCAAATCTCCATGACAAATGATATTACTTGATTAAGGTATAAAATGGTCATAATAAAAGTACATTCATCATTCCTACAGATTTTTACCATAAATAGTAAAATCTATTACAACAAAAACCAATCAATTTATCTATTTACAATCTTTTCCAAGAATTTTATTATCATAACTTTCATTCACTTATTTTTTTCTTCTTTATTTAAGCTCAAAGTGGCCCAATCCTTTGAACATTTATATGCCAATATTTTATCATCCATTGAAAAAAAGATCTAGACATAGATCAAATGAAGTGATCAGTCGAAATCCAGTAGTAGGTATCTGTTGATTATACTATTTTTTGTTTTGTTTTACTATGTTAATATAAATTAGGCCAAATGATACCTTATATTAATATGAATATATAAATTTGTCTAATTTTAATAGGTTAGTAATAATTCGGATAACTTTGATTCAAGAAAAATGATACAAATTTTTAGTAATAAGTACCTTCTAACTTAATCTGACTGATTATTACTTAGTCCTCATCAACCATCGAATAAAACTTTTACCATGTGACTCGTTGGAATGAAATGGTGATAATACCCTGTATTTGGACTGGATAAGTAGAGAGTTTCGCGTTGTCAAGGGTTCTAGTGATCATAGATTCTACCGAGTGCGTGGCTGTAAATGCGTTTTGTTACAAAGTTAGAAAGTAGAATAATAAAACGATCTAGTATTCATGATTCCACCAAATAATTGACACTTATACTGATAAATAGGCAGGTAAATGTTTATTTTGTTTCATATATTTTCCCCATTACCTTAATCTATAAAAAGCATTTCTAACTGTTTAATATAATTAAAATTAAATGACTTGGTGCTTAGATTTATTTAATATTTCACTTAATAGTGAAAACTATTCCTAATCAGTTAAAGAAAGACTAAATTTTATGTGTCACCATAGAACCAAGCTTTTCGTTAGTCATTCGAAGATACTGTATAGTAATCATTGAGTTATACTCACTATGTTGATGAACTCTCGAATTAACAACTTCTTAAGAAGCCTTTGGAAATCCATCATGAAGCTGTTCACTGACAATGAAACTTCAATTATTTATGTTAGCTTAGCTGAAGATTGATTAAAGTTGGAAATATGGAGCGTCAAATATGTTGAGGAAGTTAGATCTTCAGAACTCACTTGGAAAAGGTTTTTATTCTGTAATTTTATTCTGAAAATTTGAATTTTATGTTTTTGCGCCAAGAGACGCTTAGTTGACCTACAGCCTACATTTCTCACTCGGAAATCCTTGACTGTCATCGGTTGACGGATTTTTTTCGTACGCTATTTTTCGGCTGTCACAAGGGCGTTTCTATCATTGTATTAATAAGCTTGATTTGTGTGCTAAGTGACCTCGTATTTTCTGGGTGCTTTTAGAATACCTTCTCTACGCCTCATCAAGATTTTTTGATCTAGTTAGCAGGGCCGGGGACAACGTATTAGAATAGCCTATCGTGTCACTGTGTCTTTGACCTTCGTTCCGTTTACCAAGTAAGGTGAACTCGTAATAGCATTCAAGCATATCTAAATATAAGGTCAATGCTCTTAAGTTATTGAACTTACATTAAGACATGAGGTTTTTGATTCCAATATTTGTGGAATCGTTGGTGAGTACTTCTGAAGAGTCGGGAACTAATATGAAATATCTATCTATTACTTCCTAGTTGATCGACGGTTTTACAAATGGGGTCAGTTCATAACATTTACGATCTTTTAATATAGCTTATTATCAAAGACTATCGAAAAAAACTGTAAATATACTTTCATTTGATTGACTTAGGCTTCTGTATATTGTCAAAATGTATAAAGCATATTAAATATTAAATAAATGAAGGGTTTAAAAAGCTTGTTTATAAAATACTGAACTAATATATTACACCATTCAACCATTCACTACAAATCTAATTCGTTATTACAATATGTTTATATGTAATACATATTGTGTGAACTTATAACAAATTTCATATTTAATTGTCTAGATTTTAGGTTGAGTATAATTGTAGATCATTAAATCACACTACATCATGGTCTTCTTGAATGTATTCATATACAATTATAATTGAAGTCCAGTTAAGAATACTAATGGTCATACTTATCATTTCGGTTAACTAAGAAAGACTCCCATTTCTATGTGTATTCGCTTATATACTTTTCTAAAACACGTCTTGGTTACAGAAATCAAATAGAAATGTGTAAACAATAGGAATTCACTTACAATAACTAAATTGAAGTAGTACTTAATAAATTGTGAATTAAATCTTTCATTATCTAATAGTTCATTATAAATCTGTATTAATTATCAGTTTATGAAAGTAGCTAAAATCACTGATATACAGTAAGAAAAAAAAATTGAAAACAAATAGGTAACATTAATGATCCTTTTCGATTCCCAAGTTTAATTTAAGTTATTCTTTTTATTTCCTCACTTTTTAGTCATAACTACTGTAATGAGAGTTAGTGACAGAGAGTGACCTATGAGGGACGGATAGAAAAATCGATTCTTCTAGCATTTCAAGATCTTGCATAGATCAATCAATCTATAGTAGATAAATAACTTTTTCAAGTTAAAACAAGTTTTCTCATCATAAAAGTTGGATAAATTAAATTATATATCCAAATATGTCTAGACATGTAATTATTGTTTACGTAAAATTGATGAATATCTTGTGTATGCATGTTATCGTGAATAAATATATGAATTACAGTATAATAAGATAATACAATCTTCATATATGTTTACAACATGATTATTAATAGGGGACATAAGACATCTTTGATTGATTAGTTATGATTTTTTGGCAACGGTAAGATTTCTCTATAGAAGTACTTTTTTTTAAATATTTTCAAAACTTGTAGAATTTGGAACCACTGTTACGAGAGTACTAAGAATTTATTATGTATAGCCTAAATGTATTTTAACTCGAAACAAGATATCATTTGCTCTTTAAATATAAAAGTACATTATCATTAACATGATAATCTAATGTATTATGTTGAAATGAAAAGAATTTTATCTTTCATTCTAATTAAAACCTTCTAAAGCGTAAGCGATGTCACTGTAGGTGACTTTAATTCTGTGTTGTTTAAGCATTCGTCGTAGTTCTATTGTAATGGTTTTATGATGAAGTAAAATAACACCGACTATTCATGAGTGTTCTTTCAGGGTTTTTTTCAGTTGAAGGTATACTTTTGTATTTCAAAACGTTTTGAATAATATTTATTCAAACATTAATAAATACCAAGATACTTGTTTGATTCAATTCATTGTGTTGAAACCTGATCCTAAAGTTTAGTACTTCATTTGTAGAAAAATATTATTTTGGGATAATATTCAGTAATTTGGTAGAGTTGGTTGGTAACTTACAGTAAAATATAGACGTGCATTTCATCTTCTGGATTTACTTGTATTCCAGTGTTAATGCTCACATTAAGACTCTAACCCAGTACCTTTAGTTTAAAATGCCCAAAGCGTCAACCATTAAGCTAGTGATATTTTATAACTACTAGCTTGTGTAGAAGGCATTGATATTATTTACATAAATTAGTATTTGCTGGTTGTTGATGTTAAGGGCTACAGCTAGTTACTAATTTTTGGCGTATTTTCATTATGAAATGGTAAATTCAGCTGAAAAGTCCCAAACCAGATGAAGACAAGTCCCAGAATCTGTTGCTTGCTACTACTAGCAATACAGAGGTAATCAGCTTAAGATGACTATATACTAAAAGAGGTTGATCAATTGCATTTATTAATATCAACGACGAGAATAAAACAAGCCAATATAAATATTTAATATTGTTTATTATGTGAAACACTTTTGTTGTTAAACACTTCTTTTTATCAGTGAATTCACATGCTTACATAACTAGCCATCTTAATCATTTTTACAATCTACGTGTTGTATATATATGCTTGCAAAACCATAAAGATATATATTCAGTAATTACTGAAATTAAAGTAGTTTACTTAAACAAGATACCAAAACATTATGAGTTTGATCGAAGAAAGTGAGACTATTTTTAGTGATGAACAACGTGTAATAAAATATTTGTCTTTTATTTTTTTAATAGAGATTAATAGATTGTCTCAGTGTTATATTGATTTTTTCAGTTAGAATCAATCATATAGTCGTGACTAAGCAATATATATATATCAGTTTTCTCCTTAGCAATACTGGAATTTCAGTGAAATCACTAGCCAGTCTAAGTTAGATAATCATTAAAGATCTGATCTGGGACTATCAGAAATTAGATAGACTGATAAGTGATGTCTGTTGAAATTTGTGTACCACGAGATAATGTCATTGGAAATATTACATTACGACGTGTGCAAGTATATATCATTGAAGTCCTACTCACTACCTTCTCGTGGTGGGGTTTTGTATATGAAATTGAGAGGACGAAAAACTAATGTTCGACGCTTTGACCGGGTTGATGGGTATAAAGGATCCACCAAGGGGAAATGGAAAACCCTCATTCCAAACCAAAGAGGTACATGGGCTCCAGTACCCTGAGGGAAAAAGTGTCATATGAACCAATTATTAGTCACTGGCTACCAGGGACCTGCATCTCCTGACGTTGCTCCACTGCCTTGTGGATCGGACATTCAGGTCGAAGGCTCCGGGTTTGGCCATCTATGAGAACCATCTGCTTCGGTTTGGGCACCTGGTCAGTATCATGGCTCACACACAAATCAAGTGACTTGTGTGGTGCATATGTATTTGCTGCCTCTTTGTACTGATGTTTATGTGTTCAAATAAATAAATAAAACTGATAAACAAAATGAAACCTTACAGTGTAAGACAGCTTATGCCACGAAGCGGTGTTAGCAAAAGCTTTTGAAAACCAGGGAGCACTGGATAAGTTTATTTTCTTAGTTTGGGACTATCTAAGGACGCACACTGACGGCTTCATGCTGGATTAAATTCAAGAATCATAAGTCTTGTTGAGAGTTAAATGCCATTGAATCAACGACTTTGTATTTTTAAGTTCAGTTGAAGTGCAATATGAAAATTCGACCATTTACTTTTATCAATGAGTTATTCTTCTTCTTTTGCTTACAGTGAATTCGTAAAACACAGTAATTAGAAACAGACGTTTTAGAAACTTAAAATAAGCTACTACTAAGCACATGTTTATTATTTACTAAGGCAACTGTATGTGATCAACCAAGTTGTTAGTGAAACAGTTATATTTAACAACAACGTTTTATTGGAGTTAAAACTATAAACTTACGAATATTAACTTATTATCTCTGCAACATATTGTTACCTATGAGATGTGAATGTTCCAGTTTCTATCCTGTTCAAGGTTATCAGTCGTCAGTACTGAAAAGTCTCAATCTCAGATCCAGGATGTTGTCCAATGCACTCTAATTTAAACTGTTTCTTCAAATGACAATGGTTTATTGTGTAGATTTTATTTCAATTGCACAAACCCATCAAGGTGAAATTATTTACTTTTATTTTATTTTACAAAGTTTCATCATTCATTATTTTTATTCTAACCATAGACAATTAAAACTAGTATTATTTTCTTCATGTGCATATTTCAGTTTAATTCACGAATAGTTCTGAAAGGAGCATCAGAAATCAATGATGAATATGAACCACGTTTTCATGGTATGTCCTGGTTTGTTCTCCTATTTGTTTTTCTTCTTTTCAGAGGCAGGGTTTAAAGTTATTTTGTATTTTTTTTCTAAAAAATACCAACTTATAATAAGGAGTGAACGATTAAGGTGATTGATTCCTGAGATGCTGGAGAAGATTTTTATCTCAGGTCGATGATTTCTCGGCGGAGTTTTGTTCTCTGAGCTAGATGGTTTGGTTAGTGATTGATTTCTTTTTTTCGAAATTATTTTAATATGATACAATAATAAGATGGTAGAGATTTGTAGCTCAGGTGGATAATTTTGATGGAACAAAACTACATAATAAAAACAATACAATAATGTTATCATTTTCATAGAAACCAATTCCTTGATTAAATTTAAACAAAGTAGGAAGAATGCTTCCGAGAATAAAATGAATTCATTCTATTTTATGAATTTACTTCGTTTACAAAACAACCTAAATTATAAGAAGTAATACAAATACACATAGAAGTATAACATGCTTTAGTAAAATGAAGGAAAGGAAACATCAGAGTATAGAATATAAGATTAAACAAAGTTAAAACCGATGCATGTTTAAATTTTAAAAATAAAAAAGGAAGAATAAAAAGATTACATAATAACGATGAAAACAATAATTGACTATATCATTTCATTGAAATCATTTTTATTATTTACTTTAACACATAGATATTGGTACGAAGGGGCACCAAATACATATGCGCCATACAAGTCACTTGATTTGTGTGTGAGCCATGATACTGCCCAGGTTCCCAAACCAAAGCAGGTGGTTCTCATAGGTGGTCAAACCCGGAGCCTTCGACCTGAAGGCCTGATCCACAAAGCAGTGAAGCAATGTCAGGAAATGCAGTCCAATGGTAGCCGGTGATCAATAATTGGTTTATACGACACTTGTTCCCTCAGGGTACTGGAGCTCATTGGTTTGGAATGAGGGTTTTCCAACTCCCCTAGGTGAACTCTCCATGTCCACCAACCCGGTCAAAGCGCCGAACATTAGTTTTTCGTCCTCTCAATTTCGTAGACAACACCCGTAGTGCGAGAAGGCAGTGAGTAGGACTTCCCTGGCAGAGAGCATTTGGAGAAAGAGAGCTGACTCTCCCCACTCTCGGCCGTACCAGGGCATTTGGGGGCATTGAAATCATGGAGAGATATAAGCTGAACAATAATTGATGACCTGGAAGTACTAGTTAGCTACTTCGTTTTAATATATACATCTCGGAAGTACACACCCAAAACAAATCATGTCGGTGTCCACAATCCGTATACTGATAATAATCATATGCTTATTAGTGAATATCTTCAAAACGGAAATTTCTGGAGTTCTATTGAGAAGTTATGACCAGTAGAATTGAATTCTGTCTGCTCTGAGGAACTTATTCACCACAGGCAATATAAGATAGTCGTATAATATCAAAAATTGACTGAAATTAGACTTATACTTCCGGCTAAGTGATCTCATGATTAAGCGTTCATTCGCGAGACCGAGTGCCTTGATTTCAACTTCCGGTGATGGGGGTGATAGATAAGAACTACTGAAAAATTTTATATTAATTACATATATATAATCACATAACTCTTTATCTTTTTAGACTTCTTCTTAGCTGATAAAAACCTGTAGAACAAAAGAACTCATTTTATTCTATAAATCTTATTGTTTCTGATATTTTCATCAGTCAGTCAGCTACAATGTAGGATTATTATTTTAAATAACTGAAAATGGTTAAGTTCATAAAATGTATTGAAAGAGAAGTTCAAATATAATTTATAATTATCATTCAAAAATACATTCATAATCGAATGAACTAATTGTTGTACTGTTGCTTAACTATAGTTTAATCATGAATATTCATACATAAACTTTATAGAGGATATTCTTTTACTTATTCAAACACAAAATGTAAATCAGAATGTGTTTTGTGGAGAGTTTCAGAAATTTCACAGGTTGAAATCATGAGTCAGTTGAAGCTAGACCACTATTGAAAACCTGGAAGCACTGGACGGCCGTTTTGCCCTGGTATGGGACTCCTCAGCAGTGCGCATCCACGATCCCGCACCACGCGGGGCCCGAACTCAGGACCTACTGGCTTCGCGCGCGAGCACTTAACCACTAGACCACTGAGCCGGCATCCAACGGTGTTAATGTCTAACTTCGTGGATTGGTAAAAAATGTAAACTTTAGTAAAACTATCAAATCAATTATATTCTCTTTACATGGATAAACAACTAAACAGTCAATCAAAATTTATTCATTTATCTGTTACAACTTAAGAATAGAATTAAGAATTAAGCGCAACATTAATACGGATTAAGTGGAATTTGTTTATTCGTTGTACACTATTACAAGTTGCTTATGTTATATGATTTGGTTGAAATATAGAACCTAATTACAAGTTCGAACTAATATTTCCATATCTTTCACCTTTATTATTTGTAATCATTTGTAACTATAAAAATATAATAAAACTTTGATGATTAATGATTCCCTTAAACGTTTCGCCATTGTTCATGATAATAATGATACTCAATCAGTAAGAATTGTCATTTTCATCTCTTCAATGTCTAGAAATTTCATGGAATTGTTAAGCATGATAGACAGAAGATAATTTTCAAAGTTTCTCATAAAATGCTATAACTCTTGAGTTTTAAATTCACTTGGTATTATTTGGCTTGTATCTTCCCACTGAGGTTTATGACTGCAATTGATCAGTCTGCTATCGGCATATGTGCATACTGTGCGTATGCCTCGATATTGCCTTAATTCACAGGCGTTTTGTAAGCAATGATGGATAGTGGTTAGCAGTAGAATCCAGGACGCGCGTTTCGTCCTGCTTGGGACTCGTCAGCTGGATGTATCTGCATCTCAGAGTTGATGTTCACTCCGGGACTCGAACCCAGTACCATTCGCTTCGTTTTAATTTACAAACAGATAAAAGAACCTACTTCATATATCATATAGATTAGATCATATTTTGTATGTTAATTCAGTTTTGAAACACAAAGAGTACTTTCATTTCTAACCTAATTGTCAGCTATTGAAATTTATTCATTATGTTTCATATCAGCTATTATTTTATGAAAATTAGTCTGTATAAGTAATTAGTTTCATTCGGTTACTGACTGTTGTGACTTAATGCTCGGCTTTTATCACGTGATTTATTAGTCAATCAAAATACGACTTATTCAATATTAGTACTGTGCTAAATCAATGACGTTCGACCAATATGAACAGCTCAGGGTCTTTATTGGTCCTCTGTTCACCTATCCCGTCTACTCTAGTTCAGAAAACCAATAACAGTTTCGATTATGCGAATCATTTATTTCAAACATACTGGGTTTATTTACAAATCAAACAGACCACATCACACCATAAAATAAGAAATAACATTTGTACAAGAACAAACCAAAATGTGGTTGTGAACGTGGGAAACAGTAAATAATAAACTGAACAGAACTTAAGAACAATGAATTGTATTCTAATAATCTATGGGTCAAAATGAAGCTAATAATAAGAGGAATATATATATATATACCCTTGTGGGCCAGGGCAATTTTACATTGGTTTCCAGGAGAACCAGACACCATCCAGACAACCCAAACAGTACAGCTCAATGCCGTTTAACATGAGAGCCGGACACCATAAAGGCTTTAACGCTACAATCTGAATAGTACAGCTCAATCCTGTGGAACAACCACACAGGTACCAAGCACCCTGGTAGACCATTCTCATCATTCATATACGCATTCACGTCACATGTATAGTTATTCCGATCAATGATCGCGTGAATCAATTATGCACAGCACGAACAGGCCAAAGTTGACCTATTCCGCTTACATGACAGTCAAACTCATTAATGTTAGTAATGGCGACATGCCTTACGATGTCCCAATGACAATGGCCCTTGAGAACATTGAAAAGCAACCACCAGTATAAATAAAATCGGTTAACCGGCAAACCAGTTTTGTGCATGAACAGTTAGCAAAACTTGCCAAAGCAATGCCGAACCATCCACAATACCAATGGCGAACCTCCAGTCTCATATGAGACCTTCAGCTCTATATAGCCACATAGCTTATATATATAATGTTTTTATTAAATAATTGAACGTACATTAAAGAAAAGGATGTTATAGCCCATAAAAAAACTTTAATAGGTAGTTGAAATTGATCGAATATTGACAATTGACAATGGAAGGTTTAATATTATTATTGACTAACATAACACGATGGAAGATGTATCTTTGTCTCGTGGTTATTCATAGAGACAAATTTTAAATAGTCAACATCATTTTTTTAGATTTCAAACATTAATCTTTAGTAATCAATTATTTTTTAATATTTCAATACATCAAGAGTACCATTTACACTTACATATAATAGATGTTGTACATTTTATTCACATACAAATTGTAATATTCAATTGTTCAGGGTTAAATAAACAAATGGTCTCTTTTTTACATCCATCAAATTACTTTCTATATCATTTTCTCAAAGACTTTAATCGTGGGAAGATTGAAACTAAGTAATTTATGTTCTCAGTGCTAAAGTATTAAATCAAACAACATAATTACTATAATTTAGGTTGTCATCATTACCATCATCATCAGTAGCAGCAGCAACAGCACCATTATCAAACAGAATAGCTTTTATACTATGTAACTATCATTACAGCATTATTACAAATATAATCTTATTAGAATGGCACTTTAAATAGACAAAAATGAGTTATTCTTATGTGTGAATCAATTGAACTTTTGTTTGATTATATTTAATTAGTTGGATTATTTTCTTACAGTTTATCTGACAATTTAATAAATAAATAAAATGTGAAAACTGCAAGGTGAGACTATAATTTATGGACGAAGCAGTGAGGTATAAAATAATAAGTCTTAGATTTTGGCGCGAAATTCATTCACCCATTTGGCTAAACAGAGTTTTGGTATTATAGATGATGTCAGTTCGTGATGGGAATCCTAAATCTAACTCATAACCTTAGTCATCAACTGTAAATCATAATTCGAATTCCTGACACTGGTTTATAACCATCATTTGGTCCTAGTGATTCGGTGGACACACTCAAGGTCACTTTAGCGTCGCTCAAAAATCTTTCATAAATTATAGTCTCGCCAAACAGCCTACTTCATAGTGTTTAATTATCAAAATAACACGATTGTCTGTTTAGTGTTATGTTGAAAACTCGTTTTCTGATAATATATTGTTATGACCGTTCGGTTAAAATGAGCAACTTATCTGAAGACTTTTATCAGAAAGTTTTTAATAACTTATAATATTGAAGTTAATTTAGATCTGAATGTATTTATAATTTCTTTTTATTGCTAATCTTATTAGTATATTATGTTATGTAACTGAAGGCAATCTAAAAAATTTCCTACATATGAGCTTCCTGACGATTGATTTCTGGCATCAATATGTTTCAATTCAAATATTTATGCTTGATGAGTAGAAAATTAGATTTTCTGACGTTTCGTGACTTAGTGTAAGTCACTTCTTCAGAGAAGTGGTATTACAAATATATTATTTATTTATAACAATTTATGCTTGAGTTACATAGTACCGAAATTACAGGTGGTGCCGCTGACCTATTTGGAATATGATGAATCACTTGTGTACTATTTATCAGTGATCCTTTTGTTGATTTTAGCTAACTCTCATCTATTTAAAGTATAAAGAATAAGCACATTATTTAGCATATACTTGAAGAAACAGTAAAGCATTTGTTAACTGAATAAAATTTTGAACTTCACTTAAAATGGATTAACTTAATTCAATAGTTAACTTGAACCTATTTAGTACTTACTTTCAGATCCATGTTTTTTTTCTCAATTGAACGTCTCATACTTATTGTTTTAGTTATTAATTGTATCGTAAAATGTCATAGAATACTTTAACATTTATCAGTGTAAATCATTTACATTTCATAGAATCGAATTTATTTATCCTTTCAAAAAGATGTTTGTTATTTTCATAACTTAGTTACTTAAATAGTGAAACAAACAAACAAAAACTATTTTTTATGACGCTCTGTTAAGTCCAATAGGAAAATGTACTTCATGTCTATTTGAAAATAGACAAAACAAAATGATATTAACTTTGTATTAAAATATTTATTTACCATCGTTGATTTACCTTAGATGATAATAGTCGATGATTTTAAACATGACCTATTCAAGTTTTCTTAATTTTATAAGGTACTAGTTTGTTATTCTTTTAAACGATTCATCCGTTATGTGAACGATGTTATGAATGAACATGAGCGACAATTCATAGAAATATTTCAACTTGAATTCATTCGTTTGTAAACATTTTTAATTTTAGAATTGAAATTAAAACATGATGATATTAATTATACCATCTTCATATTACAAAAACTATGATCAGTCCAGTGTTTCCAGGTTTTTCATGGTGATCTAGCTTCAATTGACTCATGATTTCAACTAATAAAAAAATTACTATAATATCCACAAAACTCCTTTCTGAACTATATATGTTGTAATTTTAACCATTAAAAAATTTTAATAGTTGAGATCATGAGTCAGTTGAAGCTAGACCACCATTAAAAAACTGGAAGCACTGGATGGCCGTTTCCTCCTACTGTGGGACTCTTCAGCATTGTGCATCCCTGATCCCACTTCGTGAAATTCGAACCCAAGATGTTTCAGTCTCGTGCGCGAGACTATAATATCCACAAAACCCTTTGTGATAAAAAAAATTCTCTTTGTGCATAATACTTAACCCGGTAGTCAAAATTAAACTACAATATTCATATAATGGCTATAAAACTGTTTATTTGATGTCCCTTTGTTTAAATAATATTTATAATCAAAATTGGATAAATCAGGTCTTTGGTACTTGATAGATTTCAGTGATGATCCTTACAGATATTCCCAGTATATTTTGCTCAATATCCTTTAACGCATCATAATGTGTATTATTAGCTAATATTATCATTATTATTTTTATAAGGTGGTTTGCGTTATTTCCGCATTGATGATAAAGAATATTTGGCCTATCAACGATTTCGAAAAAGAACTAAACAACATGATGAATCGTAAGTGTTAGTAAATCACAGCGATAATAAGTTTTTTCCCGCTGAAGTTTTGTAAACTGAATGCCTTTTTAAGCGGAAATGGATGGTGGCTAACAGTGAAATACAGGATGCGCGTTTCATCTCTTTCGGAACTCGCCAGCTGGATGCACCTGCGTCCTAGAGTTGATGTTCACTCTGAGACTCGAACACAATACCCTTCTCTTCGAAAGCCATCGCACTGTTCACTTAGCTAATGAGTGCTGATAGCGACTTGGTTGTGCAGTGGGATGAAGTTTATATTCACTTGGCATTGTTTACTTGAATTTCGCCATTAATGTAAAGGACCGTAATTGATCACAGTTTACATTTTTTGCAGTTGCATATAAGATTTATTTCACAACTTGGTAATTGTCTGAAGACCATAAGTTCTACTGTTTTACTATTCACTTACATAAAAGTTTAGGATCATCTCTCACAACTCGTGGGCTTCCTGTTTTATAACTATGCAAACATAACTGCGAAATTCCGCATTTTATTCTGGTTCTAACTGAATAAATGTAATGCGAGATAAACATGTGTAATCCTACGCTCATATGAAATGTTTAATATCTATAACAAAGCCAGTTGTTTCAAAATACAAACCACTATCACTGTCGGTTAGTCTTTTGAAAAGAAACAAGATGAAATAAAATTCACATGTCATGCATATTATGCAATAAAAAAACATGTCAATAAATCAAAACTGTTTGAATGGATGAATATAAATGTCATTTATATATATACTCCCACACATTCTCCTTCTCCCGGGGATCAACTGAATTACAAAGACTTCAACATCTGGGTGAAAGCATGGGATACAGTGGAAAGTTAGAGTGAATCTGGACGATCTAGAATTCGTAGATGATCTGGCTATTCTATCGCACACGCAACAACAAATGCAGAAGAAGGCGACCAGTGTAGCAGCAGACTCAGTAGCAGTAGGTCTCAACATAAACTAAGAGAAAAGCAAGATTCTCCCATACAACACAACAGGCAACAATCAAATCACAATTGACGGAGAAGCTTTGTAGGATGTGAAAACCTTTACATATCTGGTCAGCATTATTGACGAAGACGGTGGATCTGATGCAGATGTGAAGGCGCAGATTGACAAAGCAAGAGGAGCATATCTACAACTGAAGAACATCTGCAACTCAAAACAACTGTCAACTGCCAACACCAGAGTTAGAATTTTCAATACGAATGTTAAGACAGTTCTACTGTACGCTGCGGAAACTTTGAGAACTACGAGATCAATCGTTGGGAAGATACAAGTGTTTATTAACAGTTGTCTAAGCAAAATACCTCTGATCCGTTGTTCAACACTATCAGCAACAGCCCATTATGGGAGAGAACAAACCAGATGCCAGTGGAGGAAGAAAGTAGGAAGATGCGCTGGAAGTGGATTGGACACACGTTGAGGTAAGCACCCGAGTGCATCACAAGGCAAGCCCCCACTTGGAATCCTCAAAGTCAAATGAGGAGAAGAGCAAGACCATAGAACACATTATGCCGGGAAATAGAGACAGGTATGAGAAGAATGAACATGAGTTGTATAGAACTAGAAATGGAGGCTCAGGACAGAGTGGATGGTGGTATGGTGGTCAGCGGGCTATGCTCCACTGGGAGTAACAGGTGTAAGTAAGTAATATATCGTGTGTGCACACTGCTGAGGGATCCCACAATAAGACAACACGGTGGTCTAGTGCTTCCAGGTTTTCCATGATGATCTATTTTCAATTGACTCATGATTTAAACTATTGAACATTACTATAATATCTACTCAACCCCTTCTGATACTAAATTCTATTCAACTGTCATGTGGTTTTTTTCCAATGTTTTTTGTGTGTTTTATATTCTAACAGATAAAAAATTATGTTTTTCACATTTAAACTGTTAATTAGTTGTTTATTTGTTGTTTACATAAAATAAGAATATTTTGTTTTTATCTGAGTTTTATTATGTTTGCTTATTTTCTTATTTATTAAAAGTCCAGGTAAATATACTACACGTGATCCACAATCAGTTCATAGTTATACTAAGAATAGTAATAATGATATAAATGGGAATCAAGATTATGTGATCAAGGTGAGTAGATATTGTGGATACACCAAATTGTAGATACTGGGAACTTTTAAAGATTATATACAGTGGAATAGAACTACTTAGAGAGTTGTTAATTTTTTTATTATTGTTATCATTTCAGTTATTCAAGATGCTATTATGTGTTTTTGCAAGGGTTGGGTTGGTGAAAATACTCCATCAGAGACTGATCAGTTAAGGTCCAGAAATCGACAACGGGGAATTAAAAACGTTTATTAATAACTTCAGACCTGTTGAACAATATGAGAACCATCTGAACACGTTAGTAGCTGAGTGAATAGCTAGTTGGTATTGAAAAAAGTAACGCAATGGGTTTGATTCTCGTTGTGACTATTAACATAGAGAACCAAGCATATTATTCTGATAAGTCCCAAATCAAATAAAACGATTTTCCTGCTTTTTACATTCAGCTACGTACATTATGATTTAAGCACTCAGATGAAATCCGTATGGGGCTGACTCTATATGTCATGGCTCCACAGTTAAAAATCGTTTAACTAAATATCAGCTGACTTGTAATGCAGTATTTCAAGCAATTTTCGGCTTTACTCTAAACAGTATTGTATTCGTTTATTTTTAGAACAACCGTAATTAAATTCTTTATAAACTATTTTCAATAAAAAAATTGACCACCCTGAACTTACTACGTATTGATTCCCGGATAACGTTTTGTATGACAGTTGAATAAACTAGTTGATTAAATATATAAATTTAATGTTAGCGGTTGATTTCATCCTTTTCCATCATAAGATCTGTTGATTGGTTGCTTTATGATTTATGAATTATAAATCTTTAGTTATCAGAAGGGGTTTTGTGCAGATTTTAGAAACTTCACTGGTTGAAATCATGAGTCAATTGAAGCTGGACCACCATGGAAAACCTGGAAGCACTTGACGGCCGTTTCGTCCTAGTATGGTACTCCTCAGCAGTGCTCATCCACGATCCCGCACCCCGTGAGATTGAAACCAACGACCTATCAGTCTCGCGTGCGCGCGCTTAACCATTAAACCGGTGAGTCAGCATCCAGCGGTGTTAATGTCTAACTTCAACCAATCCACGAAGTTGCGCCACCGTACACCATTGTCTTCAGTGAGTTAATATCACACAACAGACGTGGTTGAACTCCACTGGTAACGGTTTCCCACTAGAACTTCAGGAGTATCTCTTGAAGGCCCTGGGTTCGGATCTCGCGAGGTGCGGGATCGTGGATGCGCACTATAGAGGAGTACCATACTAAGACGAAACGGCCGTTCAGTGCTTCCAGGTTTTCCATGATGGTCTAGCTTCAATTGACTCATGATTTCAACCAGTAAAATTCTTTAGTTACCTTTTCATGGAAATTCATATTCAACTTAATGAACATTATATTGTAATAAGATTAAAGATTGCTAATTTAACAACGATACGTTTTGATAGAAAATATTAAATTATTACCTTGAATCACTTTTGATCTTTGAATTGAAAATATAATCTAAATTATGTTAAATAAATCGTAAGTTTTCTCTTAAAAATAAACTCTTTAGCTACATATAAAATGTAATATTCTTGTTTCCTTTTTCTTTTTTGTTTTTGTTTTGAAGTTATCTGATCATCATAAAAAAAATTGCACTCTGAACGATTAGTGTAAACTGATCAACAATGTAAACATAAATTCAAAAAAAAATTTTTTTTTAATAAATATGGTAAGATACCTAGCAACTATACCACTTTTTTTAAAAAACGTAATATAATATTTCCTTTTTATTTGTTTAATTAATTCATTTTTAAAAAAAATCAATAATTGTATAGCTTGTTGAACATACAGAAATCAAAATGAATTGAATTCAAATTATAATGAATGATATAAAGTGATCATTTAAAATTATGGGCAATAGACTTTTCTTTTACAGAATACCTTCAGAAAAAACAAAAACATTTCTATTTATGGAATTTATATAAATTATATGGCGAGAATATAATTTATGGATGAACCAATTAGATATAAGAAAATGATTCACGAATTTTGGCACGAAATTCATTGATACATTTGACGAAATAAAGTTTTATCAGGATAGCTGATATCAGTTCGTGATGAAAATCCTAAATCTAAGTTTTAATGCTAATTATCAACTATAAATGAAAATTCTAACTGGTTTATAACCTTCATTTAATTCTAATCATTAGGTGTCCACTCTCCAAGTCATGCCAGTGTTACTCAAAGGTCATCCATAAATTATAGTCTCACCGATTATATTATTACATAATGAGTAAATTATATATTTGTATTTATTATTATTATTTTTTTAACTAGTTCAGTTCGAGTGGAAATCAGACAGATGAATTGATGACCTTCATTACAGATTGTATAAAATGTTTTTTTTTACAGTCTGAATATATTACATCATTTTATTAGTATTGTTACTAAGATATTTGATATAAATGATTTAATGAAAGAATGTTATTTACATTTTGTAATTCAGAATAACAGTGAAAGAATTACAGTTTGTTTTGTTAATAAATACTTCGAGATTCCATACAATATATAAGTAATATATTCACTTGAATGAAAATATTCACTATTTGAAAGAACAATATCTTACATCTACACAATTAAATTTATTCTAAAACTAATATAATAAAATATATGACAAATATTATCCATAATAAATCAAAGAAGAAAAATACACTTAAAACTAGTTCCTCATATTTTTTTAAGGAAGGAAAAAAGAATGATAGTTTCCATCAAGTTTCTTTATCTTTCGAAATTTTATTGTTTACTTAAAAAAAAAATTGATTGATTCATTGTATCTGTGCTTAAACAACATTGAAATCTTTATCTTTTTAATTTAAACAATCATCTGTTTACTTTTTTTTAAAAAAAAATAATAAAACTATTTAACATTTATAATCAGATTTTTAAAGAAAGATTCAATCTATATGATTATTACAAATCGTTATTTCCTTATAATCGATATTTACATTGATATTTTCTTATTACTAAGTGAATGATTATGATTTTATTTTTTTGTTTTTTTTGTTGTCAAAAACTATTGATTCGATGGTCTCGTTTCTGTTTTCTTCTAATTTTACTTTCTTTTATCTTTTATGTATTGTGTTGTTGGTTAAAGTGATTCATTAACTTTGAATAAAGAAACATAAATAACTAAATACATTAAATTTATACGAATATTCATCAAGATTAGAACGAATAGTTTGACAGTAATTGAGCGCCGAGTATAGAGAAGTCATTATATGTGAAAATTATATTTCAAATATTCTCAGCGATTGAAATTTAACTCATTCCAACGTTTCGTCCAGCTAACTTGTCTGGACTTCTTCAGGGTAATAATCAAAATCAAAATTATCAAAGAAATATATAGCTTTTTAACAATCAGGATTATACTGTGTTAAACCAATCATATTTGGATGTTGATTTTTTGTAAAATAGGATCAAATGAGTCAGTTAACTACAAATCATGTGAAGAATTCAACTACATGGAAATACTTAACTGAGTAACAAATCGTATGTGTGTGTGTGTAGGTATGTATGTATGTGTGAGAGATTGATATGAAGGAATAAATAAAGTTCAAGTTCAAGGATGAAAAATTGCTAATGAAACATCGATGTACATGTCAAAACATAAATTGTATTGTTTAAAAAACTCATTGAATTCTTTCAAAAATAATAACGATGCATGTGATATTAAAAAACAGGTTTAAACAAGAGATAGGTTCCAAATTTTACTTGTCAAATGAAATTTGCCAGGTAGTTGCCAGTTGAATACCATCTTTTCGGTTCAGGCTGTTCTTGTTCGCCCATATATGCAGCGCTTCTGCTGTTTTTAATGCGTAAAATACATTTTCTTCACACTTCATTATCAGGTCATCATCAAGATAGTTTTTTTTCTCAAAATAATAAAATATTGGTTTCTATTGAAATGAAAATTCTAGATAAAAGATAATCTTTGATATGGTAACTTAATTTTTATCTATTCATTTATTAGTATTTTTGTAAAAGGAATATATCTAAGTTCAGATAAATCCATACACGATAGTTCATATTAGTCAAATTATAATTTGTATATCACTGATTGATTGATTGATATATGATGGTGGTTAGAGGTAGTCAACAAGAAACTCTGGACCTGAGTTTCGTGCTATTTGGCACTTGTCACCAAGGTGTTACTCAGCTTCATAGTAAAAGATGTTACCACTTGTCTATCCGGGTCGTGACTGACCTACTGTAGGACGGAGATGTATTTACGATTGATCGATCAATGGTTGGTGGTAATCAATGTCATGTGTGTCAGGTCTTTCTTATTGCAGATCGAATGCTATCGTCTCTGACTGTGAAGCTGGGTTACAAAGGATTGAATCCGTCAGGGAGCACCAGTTCCATCAAGATTACAGGTACACCTTACTGACGAGTGCCAAATAACATGAAACCCGTGTCCAGGGTTTCTTGTTGACTATCTCCAACCACCATCTTATCTCAACATAGTACACTCAATGTCGAGTAACCTAGACTATTGGCCATATCGCAACTTGGTTGATAGGATTCGATCCACACTAAGAACGGCCTGACACATGACATTGATCACCACCCAGTGATCAATGGATTGTGAATTAATCAATTGAATAATGAAATCGATTTTCAATCGATTTGTAACAAGATGGAACTTTTACTCCATATTTTGAATTCTATACGAGATTGTTATTATTACTATGTATCACATTAAAAGTGTAATTTAAAACCTAGTAAACTAAACTAAGTTACATTTTCTATCTTTGAAGTTAAGCAGCATTTCCATTTACTGTCTGCCACTATCCGGTCTTCATGATTTTCAATGTTAGTAACAACATTTTTAATTGGCTTTCGTATGGTGTTTGATAACAGTTATGTACTTAAGATGACTGGTCAATTGTCCAGTTGTTGATTCTGTCTCAGTGATTAGAGTTTAGTATCATATGGTATACTGCTATCCACGGGTTGATTGACAGTCTTATTTATGCATATAACAAACATTCCTTGTTAATTAATTGCATTCTCAGACTTGCATACAAATACTCAGTTTTATGTCATACGTCTTGAACAGTTTATACATCTTTTATTTAAACACCTCAAGTTGTCATCTTGTTTGTTGACTACTGTGGCTACGGAAGCGTCCGAGACCAGTGGATGGATTCACACATGAAGCGCAACGGGTCAAATATTTCATCTGCAGTATTGACATCTCTAACATTTCGACACTTTTGTCTTTATATCCTTAATAATAAACCAAGCAACCGTCGTCATTCTTTAAAACTTGTCCTAATGGATAATCGATATTGGAATTAAAGGTGTGAATATTATGGATTTCCACTTGAAGAGTGAGCACTCCAGACAGATCTTATATTCTGGCGTTAAAAGTTTGGACTACTCTATGTAATTATAGTTTACTCAAAAGAGCTTCCAAAGGTGGCTTGACAACCAAAAACTTAGAAAAACTGCCATTTTTTGAGCGGATGACCGAGTTAACGAAGTAAAGAACCTTCTTTACAACCCAGATTTATTTGTCAGATTAGGTTTCATGTTACCTAGTTCTTTTCGGTACTTTAGTTTTCAACCTAACTGCTGACATGAACTAACAGAAAATACAATTCTTTTGCAGATTACTTCTCCCAAATGGCTTTTAATTCAATACGACAATCCAAACTATTCGATAACGTGACAATGGTCACGAAATTTGAAGTAGAATCATTTACTGGGTTATCAAAAAACACTGTCTACAAGTGCTTGTTGAATCCACTAAGAATATGACGTTCAGTGTTGTAGATCCACTCCAATAAACATATTCTATGATCTGAAAACATTCTTAGAAACTAAAACACTGCAATAGAATAGATTGTTTGATAATTTAAAGGGAGCGCGAATGAAAAGAACTCCACTGGCTTCAACCAGGTTATTACCAAGACACAGGATTTATATATTTTAATGCGTATAGTGCCACCGAGCAGAGTTACGGTCTCAAGAAACCGGAATCTGGTGCACATTACTGATTTTCAAAGAGGATGTATTCCACGAACCTTCTAGATACCATGCGATAGCACTTACCCCAATGTCCTTAAATGTTATTGGGTCTCTGATATACGATGGCCTAAATGACTAATTATAGTCACTCCAGTATGACCAACTTGTCGTCCATGGTGGAGAGATGGACAACCATCCTTAGTCCCAAGGCGCAGGTTGACGTTATATATCTGGCGTTCTCGAAAGCTTTTGATAGGGTCAGTCGTATATGTCTCATCAATAAACTCAAACTGTTAGGTACAAAGTCACCATTAATTGATTTGCTTCCATCATATCAATATAATCAACGTTTTAGGGTCAGGGTAATTTTCACCTTTTATCAGGCTATAGAATGTATCAGTGGGTCCCTCCAAATATAATTGACATCCTTTGGCAGGTATCATCTGAGTATTTGTTTTTCATCAAAGGCTTAAAAGTTTGGAGAGAAATTTGCAACCAACATGATAAGCTGGCACTTCACGAGGACTCAATTTCAAAGTTGGGTGGACAACAACCGGCTTAATATAATTTTTAAAAGTGTAATGTAGTCCATCTGAGCCATGTTGCAGACTACGCATACAACTTGGATAACTCTCTTTGAAAAGCATCCCAAGCTGAAAAATATCTAGAAGACTTAGTATCCTACGAACTAAAGTCTTACGCTTACTGAGACGAAATGACTTTCAAGCAAACCTTTCTCTATTCAAGTCAAAGTGCATTTTTGGCCATTCTGACGGTCAAACTTTGCACCTAATCTTTCAAAGTTTTATTCGACCTCATTTTGAGTATGGGAAAACAATATTTCCTTCCCCACTCCATAAGAATGAGAAAATACTAGAATGTATTGAAAGGAGAGCCATGAATTCAGTTTAGGAACCTTATGAAAACCTCCTAAAACCACTGAATCTTTACCCATTAGACTATAGGCATCTCAGAGGTGACTTTCTAGTGAATTGTAGAATCCTTAGCACACCTGAGCATTCCTTTAAACGTATACTTACGCCCAGTCCCAGTACAAACCTTAAAATTAACACCCAGGAATGAGATACAACATAGCAGGATGAGCTGTAGTCACACTTTTTACTTTTAACTACTAATGAAATCCTGGAAATCGCTGTCGTATGGAGTATCATTAGTTACTTCTTGGGCGTCTTTCAAGAGAAAGCTTAGCATGTTGGGCTATCTCATTATAATTTACTAATGTCCTTATATTTTTTGTTAAATATACCTAAGTTCCTATCCAGAGTGATCGGTGGTCCGCTGCTGCCATATAAGGAAGCCTATTAAACAGAAGCTTCTTTAATTCTGTTTTAACCCTTTCTGTTGAAAAATACAATTTCTCTCAGGCTATGGAATCTCCTAATGGGGTCCCCTCGGGGTTCAGCACTAAGACCTCTTCTTTTCTTGATTTATAAAAATTATATTCCACGACAGACGTCTGACCTATTACTTTTTGCTGATGATGTGAAACTTTGGAGAGAGATACGCAACCACGAAAATATGCTGGCATTTCAGGAGGGCCTGACTAGACTTAAAGTTTGAGCAGACGACAACGGACTTCAACATTTTGAAGTGTAAAGTAGTCCATCTGGGACATGTCGCAGACTACAGTTACAACTTAGGAAGTATTCCAAGTTGAAAAAGATAAAGAAGTGCTGATACCCCACGATTTAAAGTCTGACTCTTGTGGTGTGGCGTCGAGTCACAGTTGACTATGATCACCACCACAAGAGGGTTGCGTACCAAATATCGAAAGGCGATTAAGCGTTGTAGCGAGATATATTTGTTGGCGATCTCGTGGTGTCAAAAGAGTACCGAGATCGTACCAAAGGAGTACAAGCGGAATCATTGAGCAAAAGTAAGAGCGTCCAAGGATACAATCAACGGAAGGAAGAATGTCTTCAATACAGTTAAACAAGCAAGCACAGTAAAACGATCACCGGTAAAATTTGTTATAATAATAATTGTTTCCATTAAATCAATCGCGTTCTCTTGATAAAAGTGGGTCACTACACTCTAGTTGTGACAAAACGACTTTTGAGCAAACCTTACGCTAATGACATTGAAGCGATTTTTAGTCAGTTTTTCCAAAGAACTTTCCGCATATTTTTCGAAGTTTTCGTTCATCTTCATTTAGAGTTGAAAAACATAGTATTTCCTCCCTCACTCCGAAAGGATAAGGACACTTTGGAGCGTATCCAACAGCGAGCCATGAAATCAATTCGGGGACCCTAATTCAAGCTTAATGAAGAGCGCCTTCCATCACCAAACCTCTACTCATTAAAGTAAGGCGTCTTAGAGACAACCTTTTAATTGCCTACAGTATCC